AAGTCAACTCGGCCACAAAAAGTTTGGCTACAGTCAACTCGGCCACAAGTCAACTCGTCCACAAGTCATTTACTGGTACTACCCTTTGAAGGATTCATCGAGTATAAAATACTAATTCTTTAAGTATTACTATACTTATTGTTATTATTATTATTGCTATTATTATTGTTGTCATTGTTGTTTGTTGTTTTTGTTACCGTTAGTTTTAATATTAATAGTATAGCCTAGTATTATAAGTATCATTATTATTATTAATTACTAATTAGTATTACTATTATTATAAAAATAAACATTATCTTTAATTTATTATTGTTGTATTATTGCTGTTATCACCTTCAATATCATTATTATCACTAATTAGTTATTAAAATTGATATTTAAATATCGTTATTATTACCATACTAGTATTATTACTATTAGTATTGTTAAAATAAATATTACTATTAATATTGTTGTTGTTGTTATCACCTTTATTATCGTCATAATGACTAATTAGTATTATTAAAGTAAATATTACTTTATTATTATTGTTGAAGTAGAATGTTGTGAGTAAAACAGAAGACGAACACATTAATAAGTAACTCTTTTTAATTCATAGGCAATAGCATTAAAATCTCTTTTGGTAGTGTGGTTGTCCTGTTTTACTAAAATATATTGTGTACCTTATTTCAATCATATATTGAAGAAAAAGGATGCAAAAACTGAGATTTATACCCTATTCAGACTACACTCTCTTGCGATGTAATTGGTGGTAATTCAAAACTGATTACTCCCGATCGCAATCAACGAACGCATTCAGACCAACACAAACAAACTTTACATTCTAGGGCCTAGGCCTCCGGTGTCTAGGCCTCCGGTGTCTAGGCCTATGTTGCCTGACCTCAGCCAAACAGTGCCTGTGGAATTCGTTGTGATTCGTTGCGATCAGTTTCCGTGGTAATCGGGAGTAATAAAGATTGTAGCACCCAATCGCAGCGGGTACCAATTGCGATATCGATTACATATCGACTACTATTGGTGAGCTTTCACACACGATTTTACTTTGCGATTGGGTGTCGCAATTGCTACAACCGATCGCAATGCGATGCTAGTCTGAATGGGGGTATTACATTAAATAACTTGTTGCCGAATTGACTTGTGGCTGAGTTGACTTGTGGCCAAGTTGGTTGTAGCCGAACTTTTTGTGGCCGAGTTGACTTGTGTTCGAGTTGACTTGTGGCCGAGTTGACCTGCACCTGGCCTATTCTTAAGGCCTGTTTACACTTGCAACAATAACGAAAAGTCTCTATGGTGAAAAGCTATCATCAGCAAAATCAATGAGTCAGCAGTTCACTTTTTTTCAGTTTCAACTATTTATTCTGTTTTTATTTTTCTGTTTTCTGGAAAGCGTGTAGAGACTAATGTTATGCGCTATACAAGTGCACAACCATTGACCATTCATATTAGTATTTACTATCAATTACATAGGCTTAATAAAAAAAGAACAGGCCCCAAAAAACAGGGGAGGTAGGTAGGATTTTTTTTCTACTACCACAATAATCATCAAAGACCTTGAAATCAGAGGTGGCGCCAGTAGTGGGGGGTTAGCTGGGGGTCAGGGCCCCTGTTGTAGGGGAGAACTGGCGGTCCCCCACCCCAATCGTGGCAGGAAAACCACAATTCGTTGGGGAGAAAATTATAGGCCTATGTACAGTATTTTCTATGTTTATTAATTAGGTATAGTCTATAAAATCGATTAAATAAGCCTTTGAAACCACTAAATTATCTTATTTTTAGCCCTAGGACCACTTTCCAAACATTTTGAGGGACACCCGACCACGCTAACTTTGCTCTCATTTTTGCCCGTCATGTGTGCAAAATAAAAATTGAGAGACAACAATGGAAAATTTGCATACTACTTCTAGGCTTTGAATAAAGTAAAAAAACAGTACGCCCTGGGTAAATCATTGTGTGGACACTCGTCGAAAGTAACATGCGCGTAAAATTGTTATGCCTATCGTAACTTTATTTCAGATGGAAGGCCGTCTGAACATAAGTAGACCTATAATATATTTTGAAGATTTAATTGAGAAGAAATAAAACATGTGTAAATGTAATTTAATATTAGATGTGCTGTCTTTCCTTAGCTAAATATATTTAAGTTGAGTTTCAATTAAAAATTTAAATGAGAAAAAATTTAGCCCTGTCAATTAACTGGCAGTTAATAATTATTAATACCTTTCCTGTATCATTTTGCAGGCATTTTAAATGGGCTGGTAATCAATTTTTAAGTATTTTTGTGGCAAAATGTCTGTAAGCAAGTGGAAACTGATTTTTTAATCAGTTTACATCCAGATAAAATTAATGGCTGTGAAATTAAAGTTATTGGTAAAGTAAAGTGTATTTTAACTGATTTTCCACCCTCTAAACACATGTTTAACTTGGCTGCCCTAGGGTAAAATGTTAAAATCAAAAACCTGTAGAACAAATAGATATCTCAACTCATTTGTACCACTTCATTTGATTTCTTATACAAAATACTATCAAATAAGTTTTACATTAGGGTTTAAATATATTTTTGTTCTTTGGTTTGTATTGATTTTTGCACTGTTTTTGTGATGTAATGCACCAGCTGATTTTCCAGAGAACACAGATAAAGAAATATTGAATATTAAATAAATCAGCTACTTTTGAGGTTTTTTTTCATGTTTTATGACAGTGTGTCTTTTATTAGAATTGGCATCGAAATAAAATAAGCCTACATAAGCACACAATACCAGCAAATATAATTCAATGAAACATCCTACCTGTATAAACAACACTCATTTTGTTATTTGTGGTTTGAAGAGAATTAGGAATTGTTAAAACCGCTTGTTTACAATTTTACCATGTGTTGTAATTCAATTTTATTTAAAAAAAACCTATAGACTATTGTAGTTGACTTTTAATTCAACTTTAGATTTGCAGGTAGATTTTACTGACAACTATAAAACAGCGTTGAGACAAGTCTGAGTTGATCACAATTCCTTTTCTCTTTATTCACATCAAACTTGAAACCATTAAGTTGCTGTCCATAGATGACGTAAAATTACTAAACAAGAAAAAACAACTCATCATTCATATGTTCAAGCATACCGTATTAAAGCATTAACAAATAGAACTCATTAATATTCATAAGTATGTGATCACTCAAGTGTAACAATCTGCATCGAGTATACCTGTTCATTATTCATATGCAAAACAGTCTAACTTTCTAAGCCTATACTGATCCTCATGCTTGCAGATGCGTCTAATTAATTCATACAAACTCATCTGAACAAATCAGTGTAGTAAATATATAAGCTATTAGATAATTTTAAGTTATAATAAAGCAGTAATGATTAACTAATCATCTACACATCATTCATTCCTAGGCCTACCTTGATGTAGTACGTTCGTGTACGACATACGTAGGACTATCCCTATATCTACATCATTCATGAATTCACAGCTCAATATTCCATTAAATATCAACTCTGTAACTTCAACATTAACATAGTAAACCTAAAAAAAAATATACTTTCAAATTAACATACCATTATTCCTGGCTTAAGACATATTATAAACTTCAATCGTCACAACTGAAAATAGGTCAACAAGTTATCTATCATGGAAATGGCGAATGCCCAGATTACCGCATTCCACCAGCCCTTAGAGAGCATTAGGCGCGAACGTTGCCTAGAAACACAGCGTAGATAATCATTTGAGGGCACTATAACCTAATTACTGAATGTTCATTCAGTACAACTATGACTATTTCACTTTAATAATATGCTCTCATTAAATATATTCTTAAAATTTTATCTATTTACATACATTTAAACAATAAACAATGTACAGAATTTTAAAATTTAATAGAACTATGGAATTTTTAGCATAGCCTGTTGATCCAATACACTAATTTCATGAACAACAGCAGTGATCAAACAGGATTGAGATGTTAAGCATAACCGGACTTAAACAGGACTGTATCATAGCATGGAGGTATATTATTTTATACCTCCATGATGAGGCGAGACTTTTTATATATCTTGTTTTGTGAACTTATTTTGTTAAAGATCGTCATAGGAGGGCGAGAAAAAGATTAAAATAAAATTTTGGCTTTTCATCTAGCAAAGAGTTTTTCAAAAAAATCCAGATGGAGGAGAAAATAAAAATAAAATTTTATTGGTGAATGTAAACAGTGTAGTAGTGGGAATTAAATGCTTTGAATTAAATATTAAGAAGAAATATGAGTATCTTATTTTATTTTTGGAGATTTCCAGGCAGTGGCGGGTGTAATGAAACTAAAGAGAAGCTTTTATTTTTTTCAGAAATTTCCCTTTTTTCGTGGCAGCGGGTGCACAAATTGGCCAAAAATAATTTTTTTTTTAATTTGGGATCATCACTATTGGTGAGCGGCAGGCTATAAAAAAATCTCACCTAATAGAGTTGTTTCTACTGAAAATCGAGATAGAAGCTTTTCTCTTATTGTTTGGTTCAGATTACCAATATAAGAACTGTGTTGCAACTGCATTTTGACTCCATTTGATACCAGATGGATTTTCTACATTAATGACGTAAAAATGACACAGAATGCAATTTAAAATGACGAGCACGACTAACAAGATACAAACAAAGAATGTTGATACTGAAGAGTGAGGGAATAATCCCCCTTAAAAATATGTGGGGGACGTGTCCCCAATGATCTGCACTCATGGTTTTTACAAAGAACAGTTTTAAATGGTTCTTTCTCATCAGTAGAAACAGGCCCTTAAAATGAGAAAGTATATTTTGAAAATACTCATTGGTCCCTATGATTTTAAGTTTCAAGTTTATCTTTAAAAATATCTTTGTACAGTTTTTTGCTTTGGTAACCTTTATTTTTTGTCCTTAGGCATCCTTATTGTAGACTGTATCAATTGAACTACAGTAACAATATACTACTGCTGTTTATATAGCAATATTTCATAATAGTAATATTGTTTTTTGTTTTCTCATAGCCTGGAAGAGTGGTGACATTGGTGAGAAATCCAGAGGTAATTTTAACACCCCTTGGACCATTACACAGAATGTCATTAAAATACATTACTTTGGTTATGTTTGTCATGCGCCATCAAAATTACCTTTTGTAATTTTTTGTAATGAGTTAGAATAGGAATTATGTTCTTCCAAATGATATACATATGATATAGATGGGAATAGATCACATGTACTGACTATACAGTGCAATAACACACCAAGGCAAAGCATTTTTCAAGTTTCTTGATGCAAAATACCTTTCTTAAATGAAAGAATATTTTTAAATAATGTATTTCAATCTTTATATTTAGTTTAATTGAAAATAATATTGAATATTAATTTTTATTTTTATAAAAATGTATAGTGAATATATATTAATACTGATTGTTTTCATCTTTTTGTTTTAAGGAAGTTGTGTGGGGTATTGCATATAAGCTTTCTGAAGATTCACTCAATGAAACAATATCAAATTTAGACCACAGAGAGAAAGCAGGATATTCTAACATGGACATCTTATTCCATCCACAAGACTGCACTGTCAAGCCCTTTCATATATCTGTATATGTCGCAAATAAACATAACCCTCACTATCTAGGCCCTGCATCCGAAAAAGATATTGCAAGGCAAGTTATAGACTCATATGGACCAAGTGGACCAAATTCTGAATATTTGCTACAGCTTGCTAAGGTCATGAGGAGTATAGTTCCAGACTATGAAGACAAACATTTGTATGAGCTGGAGAAACTTGTACAAGAAAATATACAATAATTATGTTTATTTATTTATTAATTAATAGTTATAAACATAAACTTTTTCTCTCTGGCAAAAGAAAATAATAAATTGTCGAGAGGGAGAAACCCCCAAATATTCAATTCAATAGCTCATTTGAAAAATTAAATAAGTTATTAACCTCCAATCAGAAAAAAATATATATAATTTTTGCCGATTTATTCACATTTTTAAGTTAATTACTTAACCTTTTCAGTAGTGTGTAGTGGCGATATCTAATTTACCATTAGTTTTAGCTTGGGTCATTGCGCAGAGAGTGTTCTGGTATAATCACCATCTCTTCTATGCTGCTCTTAGTGTTAAACATTTGTAATGATGTACGGTAATTAGATTTTTGATGTATTGGGTTAAAGTTCAAAGTAAAAATAAAATGGCTGCACCTAGTATAAGAGCAGGATTAATACTGGTATTACCATATTCATGAAAATGACTGACTGCCACATGCTGTGGTGGTGCCTGGAAAGGGTTGAACATACATATTATTATGCATTCAAATATAGAATGAATTTTTCAATTTTTTAAAGTTCATGATAGACAGTACATCTTCAAACAATCATATTTTAATTTAATGCTACCTGTACTTACAAATTTAATACAACATTTTGTTGAAAACATTAGAATACTATAGTATATGAATAAGTAGTGGTACAAATGTTCTGTTTTTTAAGAGAAGAGTGAAACTCTGTAGATTGCTAGAACTATGTGATCATTTTCAGTCCCAGCTCTAGATCTGTTTTGCCTTTTAAGCATAATTTCTTGAGACTTAATAAAAATAGGCCTAAATATAACTGCATTCTAAACATTTTTCGGTTTTTCCTAAATATAACTGCATTCTAAACATTTTTCGGTTTTTCTCTTTCTTCGGGTAAATTTCACCAGTTCATACATTATTCCTCAGATTTTGTTTCTTGCTCTTTGAATGACATAACAGTATTTACTTTGACTGTAAATGTTGTAATCATCGTCATTGCTGTTGCTACTTTGTGGATGCATAGAGCTAGGGCCCGTTCAAGCGAAAAATACCAACTGTATTCCGTTTACTTCACCGGTTAAGCGTGCTGAGCAAGAGGCTGGTGGTTGACCGCCTGAGCAAGTTTTAGTTCACATTAAATACCGTGTAACGAAACTACTCCGGAAGTAAATATCAACTTATCCCATGGTCAAAAATCCATTCTTTGTTTACTTTCTACTGCTGCTATAACCGGCTCACATATAAACAGCGGGGCACACGAGAACGTAAATATGCAAATCGAAGGCATAGCTCTCCTAACTTCGCTTTCGTCTTGTGAGGAGGCGAAGGAGAGCTGCAACCAGGCCTGGACCGTAACCCTATTGAATTTCGCGTGCTGGACTGTGGACAAAATATTTGGAAAAACAATTAAGGTTGATTTATTGTTGCCACTGACTCCATGTCATGGTCAAAATTGTCGCAGATAATCCAGATGGTAAGGTAATTAGGCTAGTGTCAGAGTGGTTTTAGAAAGTGTGTAATGATGGATATATTTTTGCTCAAACGGGCCCCTAGATTAACATGGAACAATACGATATTTAACATTTGACCTTATCTATGGGACAGAGGTCATACCGACCATTCACTACACTACTGTAAATTAGTGTGTGAAATAGAATAACAAAATTGTATTGGAGGTCAAATGATGATGTAACAATTGACTTCTACCAGTACATTGATTGTTCAGCCAACTATTTCATAGTAAAATGGATGGGTCACATTTTCCATGATGCCCTGAAGGGCCTTGAGAGTCACTTGTATAGACTGATAATTTGGCTCCAGATTCTTTCTTGTCACATTTGGAAAAAATTATCACCCCCAGCCTGCAATGGCTCTAAATGACTAAAATTAAGAATTTATTTTAAAACACCCTTAAGCATTTTAAACAAGAAGACAGGATCTTCTAAGAAAGCCTCAGTTTGTTAATGTGTCTGCATAGACAGAAGATCCCTGGTTCAAATCCTGGTTGAGATGGATTTTTTTTCACACATTCCTAATTTATAATGTTAAAATAATGAGATGGACTAACTAATGTGTAAACTTTTTCACAGAACTCAAAAACATACAAAAAATTAACAACCCACAATGTAGGTAGTACTATATAATTTTTTTTTTCGACAATGCTATCTGCAATATGAATTTACTACAAAATACAATATATGAAATGATTACTGTGTATGAAATAACAAATCAAGAAATGTGGAGCACTAAAATTAAAAGAAGGCTACTTAAATGGTTTGGACACCCATACTGAGATCACCCAAAAAAAGGGAAAACTTCAAAAACCAAGAGAAAAATCCAAACAATCATGAATCGCCAAAACAATGGAGAGGCAGTACTACAGACCACCTTGCCCATGACAGAGAGATGACTCAGAATAATGGAAAACATTATTTTGGAAGACTTAAGCATGCTTTATGGTGATGATATCTGCAATAATTTCTTTTGGCAATTGATTTGCTTTAAATTAAACTTGTTTGCTGTAGTTAGGTAATGTTTCATGGATCGCCAATACAGTACAATACATGGATGCATACAGTGTTACAGACTGTCCTGCCCATGACACAAAGAGATGATAGTGGAAAACATTACGTTGGGAGAGACGTACAGTACAACATGCTTGATGATATCTGCAAAAATTTCTTTTGGCAATTGAATGCTTGAATTAAACTTGTTTACTGCAATTAAGTAATATTTTAATGGTTGTGTTAACAGTGTATATATATATTTATTTTTGTATCATTAACCCAATTAATATTTCATATTTATGATATAGATATAGATAAAGAAATTGAATAATTGAATTGAGTTATTGTTCCCTGGTTATGTTATGTAATAGGCTATTAGGTATTATATTTGTTAAAGTTGTTGTTATAAGATGGAAAACAACCCCATGAACTTGTGTAGTTGTTAAATAACAATTATTTGATAATTTGTCAAACTTACAATACCGTAAAACCTCGAATTGAAGCCCAATGGGTTAATCTCAAGATGAAGCCCATTTTGAATTGAATTGAATATTTGGTTTGCAAAATTAGCCTCAAAAAGAAGCCCATCTCGTAATGAAGCCCATCAAGATAAAATAGGCTTCTTTTTGAGATAGTAGAGTACATACACTGTACATGAATTTATAAAAAACCAAATAAATAAAAAATAAGCTTAGTGTATACAGTAATTTAGGTGATTTAATGCCAGTTAAATCCATTCCATGATACAGATTGATGTTATAGTTGCCTTATTTATTTTTTTAAGGATAAATTCAGAAAATTTACAGCATTCATTTTGAAAAGAAGCCCCCCTTGCCCCTTTACTTTGCAAAAGTAGCCTCAAAAAAATTCGCAATAAAAAGAAGCCCAGGCCTTCAATTTGAGGTTTTACGGTTTTGTGATTCCATCATCTTTAAAATGATCTTTGATTGTTTTGGTTAACCCATTAAAGGTTTGATATTGATCATACAGTACAGTACTATGAAATAACAGATAAATTACTTACTGTAATACTTTGTTGTAATATTAATCATCTAGATATATATATTTTTTAAATTTTTTATTATCTTTCTTTTATTTTTTATTAAGGAGAGCATGAGATAAGGCATTTGTTGTTCATTTGCCTATTTTGCTTATCCCTTTTTCATTTTCAGTGATACATACTCTGATATTTGATTTGTTTAATTTAATTGACATAACTGAAGTATTTCGACTGTATGTTATAATACATAATGTTTATTTTCTTTAATTGTATGTTGAGTTGATTTTGAAATAAATGATTAAAATGAATGAATGATACTGAATCTTATAAAAGGCACATTTTGAAATTTATGAGGCTCATTGTACTTTTACAATAGACAACAAAGCTTCAGTTGTCAAGGGATGAAATGCCTGAAATAAGAATAAAGTATGATCATATGATCTTTTGAAATTTATATTGGTGCTTGCTGATTTTTTTTTGTACTGATATTTATGGATACAAAAATTCAACTGACTAAGAGAAGAAGACAAGTCTGAGTTGCTTAAGGACAATGTAACTAAAGATCCTGATGACTGGCCGTTTAGACAATGTGTATACCTATTTATTTATGACTCCAGGCTTAATGATAAATTTCCGTAGTATTTTGGTCTATTTCTGTACATCCATAATTAGACAAAATTTCTGTAGATGTTCCATAAAACTTGAGAAGTCTGTTGTAACATATTGTACTACTGCATTATTAATAACATTAAATAGAATGATTTTCCATAACTATCCTACTGTATGTGCAGCAATTTTAATGCCACACTTCATATAATTAAATAACATCTAAACATATATTTTACAATTAAGTCATTACAAACTTAACGCTTCTGTTAATTACTAAATGAATACCTGCAAGTTTTTCAAATAATTTCTCTTATAAGGCTTACCAAATTTACAATACTTAATTTCAAAATGCTCTGTAATAAGATCCTATAGGATGTCTTTTGATGTTGAATCTCTGTTTACAAATGTTCCCCTTACTCAGGTAATTAATATAATTCTTGATAGGGTTTACAATAAGAAACTGATGTCTACTAAGCTTAAGAAAAATTTGCTAAGTAAACTACTTAAGAGATTGCTGTACTAAAACTGTATTTACATGTAATAATGAATTTTATAAACAAGCTGATGGTGTCTCAATGGGTTTGCCTCTTGGCCCAGTTTTAGCTAATATTTTAATGACTGAACTAGAAGAGTCTATTGTTCCTGAATCAAGTACTATTAAGTTTTATACTCGTTTTGTTGAAGGCACGCTAGCATTAGCCAAGCCCAATGGTTTCCCGCAAATTCTAAGCTACTTTAATGCTTTATAGAGACAGATAAACTTTACTTTTGAATCATTTGAAAACAGTGACACAGTACATTTTCTAGATTTACAATTTATCAACAGTGTAGGAAGAATGTAGATAAGAATGGTCCCGGAAAAAATGGCCCCAGAAAAAATGGCCCTGGAAAGAATTCCCCCGGTTAAAATGGTCCCATATGACAGGTAGGTAAAAATGGCCCCAATGAAAAATTTGGTAATAGAAATGATATATTTTTTTTTTAATCTTCAAATATTTAAATACTGTATAAGCAAGAATTGAATCAAGAAATAAAAAATGGCCCTCAAATTATTAATATTAAAAAAATTAATAATAAATAAATGCTGTAAAATACCTTGTAGCAAAAATTTAATTAATAAATCTACATAAAGAATATGTATATTTGAGAACTAAAATAAATTAGTTTTTAGCTCCTATGAATAGCTCTGGAAGTAGGTCTAAGTATTTTAAAAAATTATTATTATTATTATTAGATATTATTGCTATATTTGCGGTCAATTATTAATATTATTATTATTATTGGTGTAATAAAAATTATCTTAACATCAACATTAACAAAACGAAAGAAATGCTTTTTGATTTCCGAAGAGAAAAACAGATCAATGATACTGTAACTATAAATAGTGAGAATATAGAAATAGTAGAGGAATACAAGTATCTTGGAATTATTGTAGATAACAAACTAAATTGGAACTCACAAACAAATAGTGTATATAGCAAAACAAATAAAAAATTGTACTTTGTAAGAAAATTAAGGAAGTTAAGAGTGGATAAAACCATTCTTAAATTATTTTACCAAACTGTTGTACAGAGTACACTAGTTTTTGGCATAATATGTGCGTACGGTAGTTTCTCAATGACGAACAGAAAGAAATTTGAAAAAATCAAAAAAGCAGCTCAAAAATGCATTGGCATGGAATTAGAACCCATAGTAAACATATACAATAAAATG